ATAATTCTGGCCAGTGTTTTCATAAATTTAGTTAGTGAGGTTTTTCTGAGTATGATACAACTTAATATCCATTCAAATTGGTGAGTGATATTAAGATATATTTTCCTTCTCTTATGTAATTGTGTATATATATATAACCATTTATTATTTTTAATATACAGTCCACAAATTTATATATTTACCAGTATTCCTGGTGTATGTATATTTCATTTAATTAATAGGTCCAGAGCAACTTGTGGATATGACAGTGGTAGGTATCGAAGGGGGACATTTTTGCGACCTAGGTGTCCCAAATTTCTACTTGTCTAACTGATAAATAATAATTATCTATGTTCATTTATTGTTATGTACATAATGATACATATAGATAAATGCAATTTTCCACATATACTACAAACTCTGGCTGTATAGCCCTTGTGGCTTAGCGCTTCTTTTTGATTATAATAATAATAACTACAAACTCTGATCATACAATAGAGCGGAAAAATAATGTAAGGGACCTGGGAGTAGTAATGTCTGAGGATCTCACTTTCAAGGATCACAACAGTGCCACGATCGCACGTGCAAAGAAAATGATAGGATGTATAATGAGAACTTTCAAAACGAGAGATGCCAAGCCAATGATGATCCTTTTCAAATCACTTCTCTCTAGGCTGGAATACTGCTGTACATTAACATCTCCATTCACAGCAGGTGAAACTGCAGATCTAGAGAGTGTACAGAGAACCTTTACTGCACGTATAAGTTCTGTCAAGCACCTTAACTACTGGGAACGCTTGGAAGCACTTGACTTGTACTCGTTGGAACGCATAATCTACACTTGGAAAATCCAAGAAGGAATGGTCCCGAATCTGCACACACAAATCACTCCCTACGAAAGTAAAAGACTGGGCAGGCGATGCAAAATACCCCCAGTTAAAAGTAGGGGCGCCATTGGTACACTAAGAGAAAACACCGTAAGTGTCCGGAGCCCAAGACTGTTCAACAGCCTCCCATCAAGCATTAGGGGAATTACCAATAAACCCCTGGCTGCCTTCAAGAGAGAGAGCTGGACAGATACCTAAAGTCAGTGCCGGATCAGCCGGGCTATGGTTCGTGCATTGGACTACGTGCAGCCAGCAGTAACAACCTGGTTGATCAGACCCTGATCCACCGGGAGGCCTGGTCGTGGACCAGGCCGCGGGGGCGTTGATCCCCGGAATAACCTACAGGTAGACTCCAGGTAGGTAGCCAATAGAAATAAGTCACTTTGACTTTTTGGGTGGTTATCCTAGGTAGTTTACACTATAAAGAACTTTAATTCTTTCTGCGGTGTACAGAACGTAGTTTACATGTAATAAAATATTCTTAAGCACAAAAGAAAGCCAATAGTGTGAGGTGCTTATGTGTAACCGGGTTTAAATAAACCTTTAAGATTTTGTTCAGATTTTTAACCCCGGGAGGTTAGCCACCCAGGATAACCCAAGAAAGGCAGTGCCTCATCGAGGGACTCTTGTCTTATTTTCTTTGGGGTCCTCAATCTTGTCCCCCAGGATGCGACCCATACCAGTCGACTAACACCCAGGTACCTACTTGCTAGGTGAACGGGACAACAGGTGTAAGAAAACATGCCCAATGTTTCCACCCTCGCCGGGGATCGAACCACGGCCACTCAGTGTGTGAACCGAGAGCGTTGCCTACCAGGCCACGGGCCACACTGTAAGCTTAACATGTTGGGCAACACAGACTGTATCGTGTGGCTGGTGAGAGGTTCTTTGAGACGAGCTGAACACAGTGGATTGAAGACTATTAGAGCATACACACACACACACTTGAAAAATATTGTGATGGGAACCTGGGAAGCTTGAGTAGGACACAGTGTCCACTACACATAGCAGCACTGACGATCCCACAATCCACCATTCACAATGCAAGACGATCTTCCACTTACCAGTAACATTTTTCACTGCTGCCTCAACCAGGCTGTCTAGTCCTGTCCGAAATTAAATCAAATTGATGTTTCGAGTTGCGCTTAGTTTATTTAGTTGCAGGATATATACCGTTCCAGTCACCGAGAGGTGAATGTCTCTGGTCTTTATACACTTGGGAGTTTCCTTTAATAATGACCCTCGTGTAGTCGATAGGCTTCAAACTTAATTAACCAACCTAACATACGTACACCTTGACCATCACCCGATGTTACCCGTTTATCTTATAAATAAAGGGAAAAATAGAAAATAAATGAATCATCTTCTTGCATAGGCCTTGCGTGCGGCCGGCAGTAACAGCCTGGTTGATCAGAGTCTGATCCACCATGAGGCCTGGTCTTAGACCGAGCGTTAAGATAATGGGTAAGAACGAGTGTCCCGTGGTTTGGTAGGTAACGCTCTCGCCTCAGACACTGAGTGTCCGTGGTTCAATCCCCGGCCGGGTGGAAATATTGGATGTGTTTCTTTACACCTGTTGTCCCCGTTCACCTAGCTAGCAAGTAGGTACCCGGGTGATAGTCGACTGGTGTGAGTCGCATCCTGGGGGACAAGATTGAGGACCACAATGGAAATAAGACAGTCCTCGACAACGCACTGACTTTCCTGGGTTATCTCGGGTGGATAACTCTCAGAGGTTAATAATCCGAAGAAAATCATGCCAGGTAAGAGCGGGTGTGGAAGTCAAGATGCCAGGTAAGAGCGGGTGTGGAAGTCAAGATGCCAGGTAAGAGCGGGTGTGGAAGTCAAGATGCCAGGTAAGAGCGGGTGTGGAGGTCAAGATGCCAGGTAAGAGCGGGTGTGGAGGTCAAGATGCCAGGTAAGAGCGGGTGTGGAGGTCAAGATGCCAGGTAAGAGCACGTGTGGAGGTCAAGATGCCAGGTAAGAGCACGTGTGGAGGTCAAGATGCCAGGTAAAAGCGGGTGTGGAGGTCAAGATACCAGGTAAGAGTGGGTGTGGAGGTCAAGATACCAGGTAAGAGTGGGTGTGGAGGTCAAGATGCCAGGTAAGAGCGGGTGTGGAGGTCAAGATGCCAGGTAAGAGTGGGTGTGGAGGTCAAGATGCCAGGTAAGAGTGGGTGTGGAGGTCAAGATGCCAGGTAAGAGCGGGTGTGGAGGTCAACATGCCAGGTAAGAGTGGGTGTGGAGGTCAAGATGCCAGGTAAGAGTGGGTGTGGAGCTCAAGATGCTAGGTAAGAGTGGGTGTGGAGGTCAAGATGCCAGGTAAGAGTGGGTGTGGAGGTCAACATGCCAGGTAAGAGCGGGTGTGGAGGTCAAGATGCCAGGTAAGAGCGGGTGTGGAGGTCAATATGCCAGGTAAGAGTGGGTGTGGAGGTCAATATGCCAGGTAAGAGTGGGTGTGGAGGTCAAGATGCCAGGTAAGAGCAAGTGTGGAGGTCAAGATGCCAGGTAAGAGCGGGTGTGGAGGTCAAGATGCCAGGTAAGAGTGGGTGTGGAGGTCAACATGCCAGGTAAGAGCGGGTGTGGAGGTCAAGATGCCAGGTAAGAGTGGGTATGGAGGTCAAGATGCCAGGTAAGAGCGGGTGTGGAGGTCATGATGCCAGGTAAGAGTGGGTGTGGAGGTCAAGATGCCAGGTAAGAGTGGGTGTGGAGGTCAAAATGCCAGGTAAGAGCGGGTGTGGAGGTCATGATGCCAGGTAAGAGTGGGTGTGGAGGTCAAGATGCCAGGTAAGAGCGGGTGTGGAGGTCAAGATGCCAGGTAAGAGTGGGTGTGGAGGTCAAGATGCCAGGTAAGAGTGGGTGTGGAGGTCAAGATGTCAGGTAAGAGCGGGTGTGGAGGTCATGATGCCAGGTAAGAGTGGGTGTGGAGGTCAAGATGCCAGGTAAGAGCGGGTGTGGAGGTCAAGATGCCAGGTAAGAGTGGGTGTGGAGCTCAAGATGCCAGGTAAGAGTGGGTGTGGAGGTCAAGATGCCAGGTAAGAGCAAGTGTGGAGGTCATGATGCCAGGTAAGAGTGGGTGTGGAGGTCAAGATGCCAGGTAAGAGCGGGTGTGGAGGTCAAGATGCCAGGTAAGAGCGGGTGTGGAGGTCAAGATGCCAGGTAAGAGCAAGTGTGGAGGTCAAGATGCCAGGTAAGAGTGGGTGTGGAGGTCAAGATGCCAGGTAAGAGTGGGTGTGGAGGTCAAGATGCCAGGTAAGAGCGGGTGTGGAGGTCATGATGCCAGGTAAGAGTGGGTGTGGAGGTCAAGATGCCAGGTAAGAGCGGGTGTGGAGGTCATGATGCCAGGTAAGAGTGGGTGTGGAGGTCAAGATGCCAGGTAAGAGCGGGTGTGGAGGTCAAGATGCCAGGTAAGAGTGGGTGTGGAGGTCAAGATGCCAGGTAAGAGTGGGTGTGGGAGGTCAAGATGCCAGGTAAGAGCGGGTGTGGAGGTCATGATGCCAGGTAAGAGTGGGTGTGGAGGTCAAGATGCCAGGTAAGAGCGGGTGTGGAGGTCATGATGCCAGGTAAGAGTGGGTGTGGAGGTCAAGATGCCAGGTAAGAGCGGGTGTGGAGGTCAAGATGCCAGGTAAGAGTGGGTGTGGAGCTCAAGATGCCAGGTAAGAGCGGGTGTGGAGGTCAACATGCCAGGTAAGAGCGGGTGTGGAGGTCAAGATGCCAGGTAAGAGCGGGTGTGGAGGTCAAGATGCCAGGTAAGAGCGGGTGTGGAGGTCAAGATGCCAGGTAAGAGCGGGTGTGGAGGTCAAGATGCCAGGTAAGAGCGGGTGTGGAGGTCAAGATGCCAGGTAATAGCGGGTGTGGAGGTCAAAATGCCAGGTAAGAGCGGGTGTGGAGGTCAAAATGCCAGGTAAGAGCGGGTGTGGAGGTCAAAATGCCAGGTAAGAGCGGGTGTGGAGGTCAAAATGCCAGGTAAGAGCGGGTGTGGGCATCAAGTTACCAGGTAAGGGCAAGCGTGGGCGTCAATATGAGAGGAGAGGGTAAAGCGTGGGCGTCAAGATGCCAGGTATGGGCGGGTGTGGGTGGTGGTGACAGGATGGGCGAGGTGAAGCAGACAGCAGCAGTGTGTGTGTAGACACGGTGGAGGTGGGGAGTTAGTGTGTTCTCTCCCCAACTCTGTGACACAAAATATCCCCCTGACGCACTTTCCATGGGCGTATGAATCGTGTGCCCAGCTCAGTGCCACGCCCATATGCTAAACTTTAAGTGGGGAAATGCAAGGATTTTCAAAAGGGAAAGGCCTAGCATTTAGAGCCTTTTTTTAAATTAATTCTTAAAAGAAAATGCCGCATGTAAACATCATCCAATACACTGGTTTAGTGTGATCTCAGATGGACTGATGGACCCATACGTACTTAGCGATCTCTTTTGTGGATATAGTAATAATTTACGTTTGTCTTCGCTATAATATATTGATTTTGGAAACAAAGAAAACTTTACAGAATTTGTTTTTTTAGGATGTATCGAAAACGGTGTCAGTGAACACATTTATAATTATTTCAGTATAACATACATACACTCAGAGATATATATCGCTTAACGACTATATTTAAAGGCTTACTTTAATCCCTATTTAAAGCATTAAAGTGTTTTTGAATGGGGGGGGGGTAGAGGTGACATGCAACCTCGTGTGGCAGATGAACTTTAAGCCTCATTAACCAACCTAGGCCAATTATGGGCAACTGATCAGAATATCATGTAATGCCAGTGTTCAAATAACAATAATGACCTTCAGGATCATCACACGTGAGACTAGATTTTTTTTACAACGTAAATTAAAGGAAAGCGGCTAGTTCATTTTTTTTTTTACCCAATGGAAATCATCCAGCAAAAGCCTAAACGTCAAGGGAAGACGTGTTAGTTTTGACTTAAGTCGTAGCTCTGGACCACTGCTTAGGCCTACACGCTGGAGAGCAGCAGTAGGCAGTATATGTCACTGGTTTCCAAGGAAGGTGTGGCTGTCAGTGGTAATTAAACAAGTGTGTGGCTGCCCAAGAAGTCAGCCGTACTTACCTATATGTGGTTGCAGGGGTCGAATCTCAGCTCCTGACTGTGATTACTAGGTAAGTCGGAAGCCTAATCTAGTTAAGCAGGAAATGGCGGATTGCCAAAAAAATATTATATTAAGAATATGTACTAAGCCAACATGGTTCATAGTCTGTGTTTAAGGTTAATAATTTGTGGAACTGGGGGTCAGTGAAGAAGCAAAATTAATATCAGTGTTGGTACAATAAATTAGTGAGTGTGTAGTATACCTGTGTGTGTAGTATACTTGTTCTGTTATCAAAATTTTGGAGTCCAGTCCCTGGACCCATTATGTACCTCTGCAATCTTTTGACTACCGCCCACAGGATGGGTATGACATGCATAATAGACATATTAAACTAACTGTGTAGAAGGCTGGACTCGAAGCGAGGACCTCAGAGCACAACACAGCATTGCAGATGTTCACAGTGAATTTGCATGTTCTCTGATAAGACAGGCTATTAATATGTAGTTAATCAATAGCGTGGCTGAGCACCGTTTCCGGTGAGGTGCTGGACATCTTTACATGTGGTACCTGAGTCTTATACTATGTCCGGTTCATAATCGTGCAGGTGTAATTTCTCACACTTGATAACAGAAGGAAGATGACCAAGAACCCAGTTGCAGTTTGGTGGAAAACAATTTGTTTTCTAACTCGGACCAGTGTTGCAGATAAATGATATAAAATACCGACACGATGGAAAATGAGACGTGAATGCAGTATAATACGATCCTTTATTGACATGGTGGGCGAAACTTTTGTGACTTGATAAAGCCCACTATGGGCAAAACATTGTGAATAAAGAATCCCATTATACTAAATTTGTGTCTCCGTTTCCATCGGGCCGACGTTGTTGCTAGCGACTTCGAAGGTGTTGATAAAGTACTGGAAAACAATCTGAGAAAGAGACATGCATCCCTGTGGGAGATAGGGCGTCAGTAGTAGATCGAGCGGCTGAGGCTGTGTTCACTTCCCTGAACATCAGTGTGTCCAGGGATCAGGGGAAGAAAAACTAATTTATGCTTAATGGAAATGCAGCATGGCCACTGTTGTATATGAAGTGCACTAGGATATGAGGAGTCGACTTTCTAGATGGCCTGTAACACGGAGTTAGAAACAATGACAACGAATGGAGAGGTGGGCATAGTTGTTAAGTGGTGAGTATTATGTGTAATTCCGCAGTGAAAATGCTGGCCGACTCCAGTAAATGTCCTCGAATTACTCGGCGTCCTTACGCCATCTGTTGATTTGGAACCGCTTATGTGTAATATAGTAGCATAGGAAAGTGACTGAAAGGGTTCGGTGAAGAGACAGCGTGAGCTTGTAGCAGACACGTGAGCCTTCGGGTACTGGAGGGAAGAGGAACTAGCCTATATCATCGGAACTCCCCAAGGAGGAAGGGGAAAAGTATAATATGAAGTGGACATAAAGAAAGGTAAATTGAAAGCTGTTACCAGAGTTCGGTCTCGCTGAATGAAGGACCACAATAGATGGGGTCGACGATTAAAGTAATCTCACTGACATCCGCAATTACGCTGTACCTAAGAGGGTCATGAAGGTAATGGAAGCGAGCAACGTAATGAGCAGTGCGCGCACACATTTCAACTTTAGTGATTGGGTTGTAGTTCTGAATGTATTGAAATGTCCATAACATAGTCTGTGAAGTCTTATTGTATAACTGTGTCAGAGATGACAACGTTCCCAGAACATGAGTGGCGTGTCAGTGTATAATAATAATAATCAGGTACCTGATACAACGTATACAGACATAGCTGACATCAGTGACATACTATATAGAAAGATCCTTGTTATGCTGAGCATTTCGTGCAAATTAAGTTAATTTTGTTCCCAGGATTCGACCCACACCAGTCGGCTAACACCCAGGTACCTATTTACTACTAGGTGAACAGGAACAGCCTGTATCTTAAGGAAACACCCAAATGTTTCCACCTTACCGGGGATCAAACCACGGACTTCAGTGTTTGAACTGAGTGCGCTACCAACCGAGTTACGAAGCACTCAGTCACGTCGATCCCCGCAAATAGTGTGGAGAAGCATTAATTTAACAGCCTAGTCAGCATTTTTTAACTGATGATACTCTTTCCACTTTCTAGAGGATTAAAAAAGGTAGCTCTGTGTGTCATGAGTACCTGAGCAAGGCCGTGGTGACTCAGGTAAGTCTCGGGATTCATTGGTTGGACTAAAGAATCAAGTTAGTCAAGTTCAGCGTAAATTACGTTGGTTTAGGTGGATTAGTTTAGCTTAGGTTACTTTGGTTTAGGTTAGGTTAGGTCAAAGTTAGTTTAAAGTGATTGATTTTTACATAAGTTTTGCTTACATAACACAGCTTTTTTTTACAGTAGTCAATGCGTCTTTTTTTCGTTATGTGTTCCTGCAGGAAGAATATTTAGCGTATTCTGGTGGGAACACTGTTGCCTGCTGAAGAGGCGATGAGGATATCATGTAAGGTGAGACACGAGTGTGGTTGTATAGTCTCACCTGACTCCCCCCCAGTCACCACCACCACCATCTTCACCCACCACCACCATTATTACAACCATCACCACCACCATTACTATCATCACTACCACCATCATTACCACCACCACTACCAGTATTACAACCATCACCACTGCCATCACTATTACCACCACTATCACTACCACCATCACCATTACCACCACTGATGACATAACAGATGCTGATAAATTAGACACATGTGCAACTCTTGGGAATCTTTATTGAGGAAACGTTTCGCCACACAGTGGCTTCATCAGTCCATACGTAGGAGAAACTTGAAGAACAGGAGGAGAATGAGGTAATCAGTCCCTCAACCTTGATTCGATGTGTTCAGTCCATCAATCTTGAATAGAATGCGGCATATATCAGCGGAGAAGCAGCTTATAAACCGTATGGCAGGAGAGGTGCAGCAGTCATAGGTCGTGTCACATTTGTTCAATGTAGAAGTAGGTCGTGCCCAAGAATTAGGCAAGCGAAGAATTCCTAAGTATTAAGATCCCAAGAAGTTGCAGTGTCTGACAGATTTGTAGATGAATGGTTCAGAGAACCGACATGTTGATAAATTAGACACATGTGCAACTCTTGGGAATCTTTATTGAGGAAACGTTTCGCCACACAGTGGCTTCATCAGTCCATACGTAGGAGAAACTTGAAGAACAGGAGGAGAATGAGGTAATCAGTCCCTCAACCTTGATTCGATGTGTTCAGTCCATCAATCTTGAATAGAATGCGGCATATCAGCGGAGAAGCAGCTTATAAACCGTATGGCAGGAGAGGTGAAAGCAGTCATAGGTCGTGTCACATTTGTTCAATGTGGAAGTAGGCCCGTGCCAAGAATTAGGAAAAGCGAAGAATTCCTAAGTTTTAAGATCCAAGAAGTTGCAGTGTCTGACAGATTTGTAGATGAATGGTTCAGAGAACCGACATGTTGATAAATTAGACACATGTGCAACTCTTGGGAATCTTTATTGAGGAAACGTTTCGCCACACAGTGGCTTCATCAGTCCATATGTAGGAGAAACTTGAAGAACAGGAGGAGAATGAGGTAATCAGTCCCTCAACCTTGATTCGATGTGTTCAGTCCATCAATCTTGAATAGAATGCGGCATATCAGCGGAGAAGCAGCTGATTACCTCATTCTCCTCCTGTTCTTCAAGTTTCTCCTACGTATGGACTGATGAAGCCACTGTGTGGCGAAACGTTTCCTCAATAAAGATTCCCAAGAGTTGCACATGTGTCTAATTTATCAACATGTCGGTTCTCTGAACCATTCATCTACATAACAGATGCTGACATGACATGACAAATGCTAACATGTCAACTAAAAATAGATGCCGTCGAGTGCGCATCTTTTGGAGAAAAGGTTTTGAGACATCATCAGTGTATGGGCGGCAGATATTGGTCCTAGATAAAAAAAGGCCAAAAGAAATGGCACGAACATGTTCCATGTGATTGTGAAAATTGTGTGTTTGTATTTGTGTTTTGAATGTGTGTCAACACGCTAGTTTAACTGTACACATGCATTTGTACATTGGTGAATGAAGACGAGGTTACACAGGCTAGACGAGGTTACACAGGCTAGACGAGGTTACACAGGCTAGACGAGGTTACACAGGCTAGACGAGGTTACACAGGTTAGACGAGGTTTTCACAGGCTAGACGAGGTTACCAGGCTAGACGAGGTACACAGGCTAGCGAGGTTACACAGGTTAGGGCGAGGTTACACAGGCTAGACGAGGTTACACAGGTTAGACGAGGTTACACAGGCTAGACGAGGTTACACAGGCTAGACGAGGTTACACAGGTTAGACGAGGTTACACAGGCTAGGCGAGGTTACACAGGTTAGACGAGGTTACACAGGCTAGACGAGGTTACACAGGTAGACGAGGTTACACTGGTTTTGACGGGGCTACACAGGCTAGACGAGGTTACACAGGCTAGACGAGGCTACACAGGCTAGACGAGGTTACACAGGCTAGACGAGGTTACACAGGCTAGACGAGGTTACACACGCTAGACGAGGCTACACAGGCTAGACGAGGTTACAGAGGCTAGACGAGGTTACACAGGCTAGACGAGGTTACACAGGTTAGACGAGGTTACACAGGCTAGACGAGGTTACACAGGCTAGACGAGGTTACACAGGCTAGACGAGGTTACACAGGCTAGACGAGGTTACACAGGCTAGACGAGGTTACACAGGCTAGACGAGGTTACACAGGCTAGACGAGGTTACACAGGCTAGACGAGGTTACACAGGCTAGACGAGGTTACACAGGCTAGACGAGGTTACACAGGCTAGACGAGGTTACACAGGTTAGACGAGGTTACACAGGCTAGACGAGGTTACACAGGCTAGACGAGGTTACACAGGTTAGACGAGGTTACACAGGCTAGACGAGGCTACACAGGCTAGACGAGGTTACACAGGCTAGACGAGGTTACACAGGTTAGACGAGGTTACACAGGCTAGACGAGGTTACACAGGCTAGACGAGGTTACACAGGCTAGGCGAG